TCCTCGGAAGCATGGTTGGTTGACTTTCCCAACAAATATGCTCCATTGCTTTGCCAAATCATTTCTGGTTCAGCAGCAATGAGCATGTAAATTAGGTCAATGAGGTTTTCGTCATGATCCATCATATAATACTTTCTTTTGAACTCATTATATGATTCAGGGAGTGACTACAGAACCCAGTTCACAGCCAACTTATCAGGGAATGATGCACCCAACATTATCAACCTATCGATGTGTGATTTCATTCCTAGAACGTGGGCACACACTGGTTTACAATCTTCATGTTTCATTTCCAATAAGGATTTAGTGACATTGAACCTTTCAATTCTTCGATCTTGTCGGTTAGTGAGAATAATTGGAGGAGGTGGATGAAGTGAAGCATGATCTCTTGTTCCTCGATTGAATCTTGGAATATCATCTTCATGTGGAATGCTTGTTCCACGGGATTTGGGAAGACCATAGTTGTCGTACTTTGACATCTATAAAACGGGAGAAAATAAATTCAAGTTAGTTGATTGATTGAGTCCTTAATAAGTCACCCAAATGAGATATTAAGGCTAGGACCCAACACAATACGCTACAACCTAGAAAAGGGATGTTGTAATCTAGTTGCTGAATATTTGAAGGTGAGTGAATGACGATTCACTAATTTTCCACCATGAAAAACGAAAAACGGATTAAGTTTTAAATGATTTGAAAACTCCTAGATCCTTTGAGATTTATCGAAATTTTCAATGGCATGTTTAAATCTCGATATGCCCCTCTAGTTTGTGACTGGGATACCGAGGATCACAAAGCGGGTGTGAATAACCATGCAAACTTACATGGTGCCCCCACATGTTACAGTCACTTATTCGATGTGCCGATTAACCACACACGCTCCACCGAACTATGACAAACATTGAGCCACCATTTACTACCTTTTCTTAGAACCATTTAGTGTTCTGGTTAACCACACACGCTCCACTAACGTTTTCGCAAGGGTACAAAGTGTAATATCATGGAATTGCATCAATTCACTTTTGCCTAAAGTAACTAAGATTGAGAATTTTGTAAAAGCATTTAGTTACTTTTGTACTTCATTATACTTATAATGGAAGGTTTCTGTCCTATCCTACCCATTCGGCTAACAACCCTCCACTAGTCAAGAGTGCGGTGGGTAAGAGTGGATACCCATTCAATCGCCATTTTATATGCAATTTCCTTAAACACCCCTTATAGACCAGCTTCGTGAATGAAGCCTACTAACGGTAAGACAGACTTTTACTCATATATACATATATATATATATATATATAATATATATATATATATACATATATATATATATATATATATATATATATATATATATATATATAATGTTAGACTTCTAATGTTATATATAGTATAGGGTGTATTTTACATTTTTAAAATACTAGGTGGTCAAATTTAACAATTATATTTTTAATTCAATTAGATTGTGAACTAAAACTTTATGGATTTATTAAACCTCTTTTAATTATACACCTTAATTAATTAATAAAACCATAAGGGTGTGATTTGAACTTTTCAAAACAATAGTAGGGTTTTAGAATTTAACATTTCTAAATTAACTTTTAATCAACTTTTAAATTCAAAAACTTGAGGGCAAGTTTTGAAACATTTCAAAACATTAGGGTTTAGAATTTAAATATTTCAAAAACAAACCTTTTAATCAAAATTTTAAATTCCAAAACTTGAGGGCAAGTTTGAAACTTTTCAAAACATAAGGATCAAATAGCAAATAAATTAAATTAAACAATTAATTTTATTATTATCTATATTTGACCTAATTTCAATTTTACCCAATTAATACAAATAATCAAACTTTAATCAAATAAGGAAGTTATTATCAAGTCAATTGGTAATTATCTTTTGTTTAATCAAGGATACACTCAAAATATGATCAAAATTCGAATTTTAATGACCCAAAACAGTTAAGGCAAGTATCCATGACCAAAATAGCAAGAAATCCCGAAACTGCCTCATTCTGACGCTCGAACTCGCCGAGTACCTCAATGGACTCGCCGAGTCCACATTCGAACTCGCCGAGTTCAGCATGCAAGGGGGGGGGGGGGCAAAAATCAATTTTACAGCTTGAACAAACATGTAACGCATCAATACAATAGAAACCAATCAAGGCTCTGATACCACTGATGGGTTTTAGCCATAAGAACATTCTATGTGCTCATATAAACCCTAATGCTTGGATCTAGGTTTCTCTATTGTACATGCAACTCATCCAAGACTTTAAACCCTAGATTCTAGCATATGATAATCAATATTAACATAAAATGGATTTAAGATAATACCTTGATTGTTATGTAGCAGTAACAATCTCAAATCCTCCTTGTAATGACTTTATAAAGCTTAGAGTAACAAATGTCACTCCTCTAATAGTTCACAAACGCCAACAGCAAGAGGATGAAGAAGAGAAGAGGAGGCTGCCCAAAATGTGTGGAAACCCTAAGGAACCAGTTCACCACGTTTTTGGGGCTTAAGGGTCCTTTAAATAATGAGGCTATTAGGGTTATCTAACAAGGAAACCCTATTTTGGATGCTTAGGCCCTAAGCAACCCATGAACCCTTCTTTAACAAGCCTTGGACGATTTCTAATGGGTTTCCCATAGAATTTGTCCAACCTTATATTATAAGGTAATCTATAGCCCAATTGCAATTATTTTATTATTACAATTCTCAAGGTTGTAGAACTCGTTACTCGGTACCTGTTCGGCCACCTACCGAGTAGCGAGTACTCGGGAGTACTCGGGAGTACTCGGGGAGTACTCGGGAGTACTCGGGGAGTACTCGGATTTGGAAATTTGTGTAGAAATATTTTTAGGGAAATTATATATGTCAAAATCATAAGATAAAATCATAAGTTGATTAAATATATAACAAAATTGGATACATGTGAATACACAAAAAATGAAAAACACATAATGGTCTCACTTCGTGAATAATTACTGAAAATTTAAGATATATATGTAATAATAATCACATGTGTGTGTGTCAAATAATAAATCATTAAGTATATTATACATATTAATCACCGAGTTGACCGAATTTCACAACACTACTCAGTTCGTAAGGGGCCGATCGGGGAGTACTCGGGATTATGTAACTCGCCTCGGCAAGGGGGGGAGTAGCGAGTACTCGGAGGAGTAATCGGCTAACTCGGCGAGTTTTACAACACTGACAATTCTAGTCCCTTAAGTTTAATTAATCTCTTTTAGTCACAAAACTAATTATCAATTAATTCTTGACTAATATTAATCAAAAAATATGATTTCTCCTTTAATATATTATTCTCATAACATATTAATAAATCATATTTAATACTTTCTCTCCATAATTCATCCTATCAAGTTGCTTTGGTGAAGGCAACCCAAAAGGACCATGCACCATCGGGTCAAGTACATACCAAAATAGTTATGGACTTAGACACTAATCCAACAGGTTGTCCCTAAATTGTTGCTTTTAAACCCCAAAAACCCCAAATCATTTATGATTAAGCCTTATGTTTGGGTCATACTTCAGATCTAGGCCCTCATTGCATTCTAGTAGTGTAAAGTTTTAGCTATGGTCGTGATTGAGGTCCCTCTTGAGCTTAGAACCCAATTAAGAACTTAGTTTTCGCATATGAAGCCTTTAAAGCCATGCATGCACGTAAAGTTTACAACTTTACGTGATAAGCATGCCCTAGAAGCTTGGATCTATGACTTGGAGCCGTTGAAGCAACATATCAGGTCTGTATGGAAAAGGGACTAAATGGACTCGGCGAGTCACAAGCTTGACTTGGCGAGTCATATGAAGATAGCCATGGACTCGACGAGTTGGATAAGCAACTCGGTGAGTCCGATGAAGATTGCCTTAGACTCGACGAGTTGTTCTACAACTCGGTAAGTCGGATGAGTTTTTCCCGAGAAAAGTAGTGCTTGAGTGAAATGGCTTCATTCCTTAGTAGTTACACGTAAAGTAAGCAACTTTACATGTTCAGATGGTCCCAAGGGCTCAGATCTATGAGTTAGAGGCCCTGGAATGGATTAGATTTCGATTGTATGGAATCCACGATAGGACTCGGCAAGTTGTTCTTCGGACCTGATGAGTCGAGTTGCGAGTCCCTGTTTTCCCTTCGAGTTGTGAGTTAGGATGAATCAGTGAGTGGGAAAGGGACTCGGTGAATTAAAGTTAGAGTTAGCAAAGGAGGGACTCGGTGATTCTGCGCCCTAACTCGACGATTCCGGTCAACTGGAAGTTGACTTTGACCAGGGAGTTTACATTGACCAGGGGTAAAATAGTCATTTTACCCTGAGCGCATTTACAAGTAACTGATCTAGTGTTTTTGGGATTTGTAGCCAGTCAGCTCCGGAGCAGCAGTCAGCCACTTTTAGAGTTAGCATCTCAGCAGCCAGCACTACGAGGTGAGTTTTCCTTCCAGTAGGAACGGGTCTACGGCCACAATGTCGGCCTGCTTAGTTAGCAGTAGTTCCGGACTTTGGTCCGATGCAGTAGTTCAGTTTGCTTGATGTCTTTGTGATTCAAGCATGTCTTTGTGTTATGTGTTTTGGACTTTGGTCTAATACAGTATGCAGTATATGTGTTTACGCTAGTTGATATGTTTATGATATGCTATGTTATGCTCAGACAGCTTCCGGACTTTGGTCTGATGTTGGGGACAAGGTCCCAGTCAGTTCCGGATTTCGATCCGATGCAGTTAGTTCCGAACTTCGGTCCGATGCAAGGTACAAGGTCCCAGTCAGTTACGGACT